TCTCCTCACCTCCCCTCCCTCTCCCCCCTCCCCCTCCCCCCCCTCTCACTCTCTCTCAGTTGAGCCCAGGGCCTCACACCTGCAGGGAAGTGCTCTGACACCCAGTGAGCCCAGGGCCTCATGCTTGCAGGGAAGTGCTCTGACACCCAGTGAGACTCTTGGTTCTCTATGCATTTCTTGCTCCTGATTCTGCGTCTTGCATACAATGGGAGTTTAAAAGACATGGTGAAATAAATGATATTGAATAAGCAGCCGTTCTGACCTTGTACTGCTCATATGCTTTCTGCTGCTCCTCACAGTGCTCCTTTCTATACCTAAAAGATGTGTGATCTTTGCCAAGGTGCACCTGCCTGCAAAAGAAAAAACCTAATTCCAGAAGCCATTCACAAATATGTGTGTTAGTCCTATTTTATAACCAAGGAGGAATGGGGAGAAACTGGAAGGAGCCAGCTCTGGGGTGAACAACATGTCCCAGGAGATGAAGCTTATCACAGGACGGTGGTGGCACAGGCCTTTAATCCCAGGACTTGGGAGGCAAAGGCAGGCGGATCTCTGAGTTTAGGCCAGCCTGGTTTACAGAGCGAGTTCCAGGACAGCCAGAGCTACATAGAGAAACTCTGTCTTGAAAAACCAAAACCAAAAAGAAGGGGGAGGAGGAGAAGAAATGAAGCTTATCTTCTAGTGATTCTTGCTGAAATATTTATAAATTTATAAATTAATACAACAGTGGTGTGAGAAACGGTTCATTCAGTGAAGTGTTTGCTTTCAAGTGTGAGGACCTGAGTTCAACCTCAGGACCCTTGAACAAAAAGCCAGGAGTGGTGGTATGCTCTTGTTATCCCAGTACGGTGGAGGTGCACATAGACCCCAGGACAGCCGGTCTGCTTGGTGAGCTTCAGGCTAGCAAGAGGCCCTGTCTCAGAAAACAAGGTTGGGTTGGGGAGACAGCCCAGTGGTTAAGAGCACTGACTGCTCTTCCAGAGGATTGGGGTTCCATTAGTAGCCCCCACATAGCAGCTCACAAGGGACGGTAACTCCAGTACCAGGGACTTGAAGCATGCGTCTGGCTTCCGCTGGTACCACACACGCACTGACAAACATGCGGGCCAAACCGGAATACACACAAAATAAAATAAACATTTTTTTTTTCTGGAGACAAGGTTTCTTTGTATAACAGTCCTGGCTGTCCTGGAACTCACTTTATAGATCAGGCTGGCGATCAGGCTGGCCTCAGACACACTGAGATCCACCTGCCTCTGTACCACCACCCCAGACCTAAAATAAACAAATCTTTAAAATAAACAATATAAGGTGGATGACCCCTGAGGAGCAACACCAGAGGTCGACTTCCAGCTTCCACCAGCACACTCTCTCCCTCTCCCTCTCCCACACTCACACACACTCACACACAACCTAACACACATTCTGTCTCTCACACAAACACACACACTCGCATACTCTTTCTCTCACACTTATATTCACACAAAACTCACACAGTTCACTCACTCTGTCACATGCACACACACAATTCACTCACACTCTGTCACGTGCACACACACTTACACAGAATTCATTCACATTATTACATGCACACACTATCACACACACATTGGTCTCACACGAACACACTTACACACTCACTCTCTTACACTCACACGTGTACACTTTCTCTCACGTGTACCCCAAATGTTCAGCATCACTAGTGGTCAGGGAGATGCAGATCTAAGCCATACAAATCAGCAGGTGTTGCATAGGTAGAAGACCCACAACTCCCCAGTGTTGCTGATGAGAGTGTATAAACAGCCTCTGGCTGACACGTGGCAGACCACACAGTGGAATATCACACAGTTACAGAAGGTGAACTAGCCATAAATGCTGAGATGCGGACGAACCATAAAAATGTTTTGAGTGACAGAAGCCTGTGACTAAACCTTGCACCGTTGGCTAGTGCATTAATTTAATATCTATTTCAAACTGTAAGTTAGAGGAGATTAAAGATTAAATATGAGAGGTGAGATGGCTTGGCAGGCAGAGGGGCTTGCCACCAAGCCTGACACCCCTAGTTCAATCTCCGGAACCCACATGGCGAAAGGAGAGAAGCAACTCTTCCAGTTGTCCTCTGATCTCCACGGCGTCTCATAGTACGTACGGTCCACGCCCACAGTAAACGAACAAACAAATGTTTTAAGTTTAACAACACGATTTAAGAAATCAAATGCGTGTCTAGGAAAAAACAATGGAGCATGTGCATTTGAACTGGCTCTTACGAAAGCTGAACACGCGGCCCGGCTCCTGGTGTTCTCTAGTTTAAAGTAACTCAAACAGAAAAGTCCATTTGCTCCAAGAAGCATAAGAAGGCTTCTGCCAGGACTGTCCCCGGCCGCTCCCACTGCATGGGGCTCACCCCAGGTCAGTCTGGGAATAGGGGCTGGGTGGCAGGCAGCCCCAGCTGGCAGTGAGGAGAGGCCAAGCCCAGCACAGTCCACTGCTGTCCTGCCCTGTCGGCTATGTGTAGGAAACAACATGCCTTAATTACAATAATTTATTTCTAATAGCCACCCATTCTGAGCTATAAACACTGGCTGAGGAGACGGAATAATTGAATTCACCAAGGGAGTTTATCAATAATTGCAAGTCATTGTGTCTCCTGCGTCAAAGGCCATCCCCTAAAAGCAACCACCATGTCACCTGGTGCACATTATCCCTCAATATTTACCACTTAAGATGGTTCTCGCTCTCCTCCAGGACGTTCTGTCTGACTTTCTGTTCGAAGAGTGCCTCCTTCATCTGTCTGGTTTTGGAGATTTCATCACCCTGGTCCAGGACTGGAGGCAGGAACGGGCAGAGACCATGGCCGTAATCAGATCAGTCATTCCCCAGACAAACACAAGTTTCTAACCATGCCGCCTAACAGACATGTAACTGAGTTTTGTTCATAAATAATAAATGCGACTGGACACATTTCTTTCTTATTTTGCCCCAGGGACTGGCTTATGGCAGACCAATAGCTGTCACCTTGTTTTAATTCCTTAATCTTCAACTTTCCCGCTTCTTGGTTGAGGACAGTTGCCACGGCGAATGGATTCGACAGATCTGTTGGAAACCGCAGGTCTTGATATTCGATTTCCTGAGGACCAAATGGAAGGGCACTGAGTTCTTTTCTCCCTGCCTTTCCATCCCACTGGGTGTGTGTGTGTGTGTGTGTGTGTGTGTGTGTGTGTGTGTGTGTGGCTCCACCCACTTACCTTCATCTTCTGAGGTCTTGCCTTTGTAGGAGTTGGGTAAAATTGTATATACGCTGTTTTTTCTGGAGGAACATTTACTTTCTTAGAACGAGTATTTAATCTTTCAAACTCTTCTAATCTGGAGTTTAAGACATGATAAATTAGTGTATAATCCAACAGTTTGGGCTTTGTTTTATTGATTTATTTTTAGTTCATGATTGTTGCCTGTGTACTTGATCAGATCAAAAAGACTACACCTGATTCCATGGAATTGGAGTTACAGATGGTTGTGAGCAGCCATGTGGGTGCTGGGAACCGAACCCTTGGGTCCTCTGAAAGAGCAGCCGGTATTCTTAACTACTCTTAACCCCAGCTCAAAGCGTTTGTTTTTGTGTTCTTTCTGATAAAACTATCACCTGTGGCTCAATATTATAACTAAATTAAAAGTAAGTGTGTGTGTCAAAAGGAATCTTTGGAAACAAATTTCATATCAGTATATTGACATATAACCGCATACATATGTGTATGTACTTATCTATGCACACATACATACAGCAGTGGTTGCCTTCCCTCCCATTCTTAAAAAATACGTTTGTGTACATGTGTGTGCGTGCACATGTGTACATGTGTGTGCACGTATGTATGTGTGTGTACATGTGTGCGTGCATACACCATGGCATGAATGCGGAGGTCAGAGAACAACATATTCTTCTGCCGTGTAGGTCCCAGGGAAGGAGCTCAAGCCATGAGCACTGGCAGCAAGTACCGTCCCTTCCCTGCTGAGCCATCGCTCCTTTGCACTCCTCATGAGTATGAGAAGTGGAAACACAGCAGGCTAGGGGATGCTCTGGTGGTCTAGCAGAATCTATTCCTAGCCTGTAGCTCTTCAACAGCTAAGGCTGATTACTTTAGAAATCATGACTTACATTTCTAGTGAAAGAATAATCACGCTCTTTGAAAAGCAGAAACAAAACCAGGGTGGGGCTCTAGCTGGGTCAGCAGAACACCTGCCCCTATGCTTTAAAGCCTTTTACGTAGACTCATCTTTTAATATAAATGTTATAAATGTAAATATAAATATAAGCTTGTGGTGCTGGGTTGAACCTGGGGCTGCACAATTGCCAAGCAAGGGGCCAGTGACTGACCTGCACGCCCAGCTTTCAAAACAAATTTCTGAGGGGGTTACAAGGAAAGAGAGAATTTGGATTTTTCTTATATTTTCAAAGGCAGGTTCTTGCTATGTAGTTCAGATGTACTTTGACCTCATGCTCTTCCTGCCTCAGCCTCGTCAGTGATGGAATCCCAAGTGTGCACCGCAATGCCCATAACTGCATTGGATTGGAGTTTTCATGAAGCGAGTGTGAAGAAAAACATCTGGGCTGTGGCTACAACTCAGTTGGTAGAGTGCTTGTCTAGAATGCCCGTAGCCCTGGATCCTATCCCCAGCACCATCCGCACTGGGTGTGGGGTGCATGTCTGTAACCCCAGCTCTGGAGGTGGAGGCAGGCAGAATGGCAGAGTTATCTTGGTTCCTTAGCGTGTCTGGGGTCAGCCTGGGCTACATGAGTAGACAGAAACATGATGGAGAAGCCGTACGGTAAGGCCATGTTGGGGTGGCAGCTTCCAGTGAAGACACACTCATATGGCTGTGAGTTGAACTGCGAGATCCACAGCTGAATTTTGATTTGCGCCATCCCGTACTGGATGGGCGTGAACTTCACGGTTACCTTCGCCTTCCCGTTAGCAGGGATTATTCCTGTGAGGAGAGAGAGGGGGGGAGGGAGAGAGGAAGAGGGGGAGAGAGAGAGAGGCGGGGGGGGAGTGATTGTATCTGTTACTACTTTCCTTATTTGATGTAGGTGGGTCTTCTATCTATCTGTTGTTTCATTGGTTAATTAATAAAGAAAACTGATTGACCTGATAGGTCAGAACATAGGTAGGTGGGGAAGACAGAACAGAATGCTGGGAGGAGGAAGGTAGTGAGGCAGACGCCATGATTCTTTGACCCGAGACGGATGTAGGCTAGAATCTTTCCCGGTAAGCCACCACCTAGTCATGCTACACAGATTATTAGAAATGGGTTAACCAAGATGTGATAGTTAGCCAATAAGGGACTAGAGATAATGGGCCAAGCAGTGTTTAAAAGAATACAGTTTCTGTGAAATTATTTCAGGTAAAGCTAGCTGGGAGCCGGGCCGCAGCCCACCGCCCTCATCACTACACTTATTGCTGAGGAAATACCCGGCAGATGCAGTTTAGGCCAGGGGGGTGTGGTGAGCCCACAGAATTACACAGCAAAAGTGCAGCTGAGATCGGTGGGACCAATCCACAGGAAGTGGACACGTGCACACCCACTCGGAGTAACCCGTTTTTGCAGAACTACTGGGACACCTGGCTTTTGGCTAAGTCACTGTCAAGTCTGTAGAAATCCTGTGAAATCATGGCATTTCTCCCAGCAGAATAAAGCTGACTTCTCCTGTAAGGGCAACTGGATACCCCCTACCCCTCACCCCCCACCCCCTTCCCTGACAGCATGAAACCATGGTGTGAAAAGGATTCCCTCAGTCAAACCTTTGTTCTCACAGCCAAACTCCGCCCCCCCCAGTCTCTATTGACAGCTGGTAAGAAAGGAGCCCTATACAGGAGGTGATATGTCTGCTTTAACAGCAGACTCTGGAAGGCGCGATCTACTGGCCCCTGCTCTCACCTAACAAGCTACTAATATTCTGTGTTTACTCCTCACCTTGGTTTCAGCTAACATAAGATCGCAGCCCAGGGAATTAACTGTCTATACAGGAAAAAGGCCTGAGTGGCTAAAACTATCTTCAGAGAGAAAAATTCTCACTTGGGTACCCTGCTGGAGTCAAAAGCAAGCAAGCTCCCCAGAAGAGATTCCTTTTAACTCAATCAGCTAGCTGCTGATCAAATCAAGCCTGCAGGTTAGTATAGCTACAACACTCCCAGCTGCCAGGGAGCTTCCACAGCCACGCCCCCTCTTGCCAGACCCACCAGCTTTTGTGACTCTGTAAAAAGCACACTTGGTACTACTGTTGGCGCTTATGGGATTGCTGACTGGTCTTTATGCCCACATAAACTGAAAGCTGGGTGGAGATGGCCCCTTATGCGGCTGCTTCGCTTCTTCATTTCCAGGGATAAAGAACATGCAGCGGTAAACACACGTGAGTTGATTTATTTCATTTTATCCCCAGATCCAGTTAGCCAGGTTTTCAGCTGCCATAGTGAATCTTTCTGGACTCTGACAGGTTTAATAGGCTTAGCCCCAAAGCAAACCTCCATAGGAGGGGTTGATTTTGACTCCGAGTTTGAGGGTGCAGTCCATCACGGTGGAAAGGCACGGTGGCAGGAGCAGGAGACACCTGTTCACATGGCACCCACAATCGGGCAGCAGAGAGATGAGCACTGTGCTCAGTTCCCTTTCTCCTTTGTATTCTGCCTGGGGCCCCAGCCCGTGGAATGCGGCTGCCCACTTTGATGGACCCACCCATGCCCTGCCCACAAGTCCCTCCCTCCAGCCAGCATTGCCAGGCAGGATCAACCATCACGGAGGTATCTGCTCTGCTCACCAAGTAAGGCTGCAGAGGCGACACCAGCCCCACCTTCCTAGCGCAGCATAGCTGTGCCTCTGCTCGCTCTTCGGGCTCTTGATTAGGTGCACACAACTCAGCTTCTGAGTGCTGGCTCAGACCTTGTTTACCAGTGACGACACAAATCCTTTCCAACAATTATCTGATTGTGTAGTTATACAGATATGGTCAAATCCATTTGCATTAGTGGCTCAAATGTAAATTCCCAGAATACTGACCCTAGAGCAAGTGAGCAGCACGCAATGCCGATGCTGTAAGCAACATGGGAAACTAGGAACCCATACCTAGGGGTTTGGTTCAGATTGTTTAGTTCCCTGTGTTTTCCTGTAGCTTTATTCTTCCCTCCCTCCCTCCCTCCCTCCCTCCCTCCCTCCCTCCCTCCCTCCCTTTCTTCAGTGTTGGGGCTGGAGCCCAAGGCCTTATCCAGGCTTGGCAAGTGCTCTACCACAAAACTACACCCCGGACCTCCTCCTTTCAAATCTTTCAGATGAACTGGTATTCCTTCTAGCACACCATGCCATCTTACTTCTTTGTATCCCTGGTGCCAATTGGGCTTAGAACACTGTATGTCCTGGGGTTGTCAGGGTCACAGCCTGGGCCTTCACATTCTAACCAGTCAGGCGGTACCATTCATCCTCAATAAGTCATCAAAGAGACAAGCTAATAGTGAAAGACAGAAGGAGGAGATTCAGCCAGGTGTCTACATTGGGAAGGAGAATCAAGGGGTCCAATGACCCCTAAGTCCACCCATGGGGTCCTCACACGACAGGACCAGAGGTGTATGCATAGCTAGGCTGTCCTGGCCAAAGTTTGGTTCTGCCCATCACTGACCCATCATTATGCCAGGATCCGTGCAAGGCGATCTGACAGGTTGTGTGGGTCCTACCTGTTTGTTACCTTCCAGGGAAATTGCAAACTCCCAAGACAGACAGCAGCTCCCAGCTATTTTATCTACCTGAATGCTTCCTATAGTCAGTTAATAGTTTCTAAGAGAGGGGGAGACATTCTTCCCAGTGGTGTAGCCCCTGGCAAGGTGTCCATGCTCCTGGAAGAACCCTTGTGAAACGCACTGGGACACACAGACATGGCAGTAGCTGGGAAGAGCAAGATCAATGGGAAAGGTGGGGGGACAGAGGAGCGTAGTGGGGGTGAATGTGACCAAAACGCATTACATACATGTGTGAAAACACCGTCATGAGCCATGATACCACATAAATAACATGGAAGACTGGGGAGGTGGCTCAGTGAGCAAAGTGCTTGCTGCACAAGCGCAGGATCTGAGCTGGGGTCCCCAGCACCCACGGGAAACCTGACAAAGCAAACTCATCTGTAACCCCAGCATTGGAAGGAGTGGAGATGCCTGGAGCCCACAGGCCAGCCTAGCAGAGACAGCGAGAGACCCTTAAGTTAGACATCTCAATGTGTGTGTGCATGCGTACACCCACAGAGCAAATGCATGCATGCATGCAGTACACACACATGCACATATGCACATACATACACATGCACACACAGAGAATGTGCGAATTTGTTAATTTCCTGAGCACGGATAGAGGTCAAAATTGTTAAGTGGTGGCCACTATTGCATCTTAAGCCTGGGGCCAGGTAGAAAGAGTTACCAGATACAATGGGTCTGCAAGCCAACAGCAGGTCATTTGGGTAGAAATCCCAGCAAAAGAGACTTTAATACCTTGACCACCACTTGGTCAGAGCATCACTCTGTGGGACCTGCAGATCATCCGGAATTTGAAGTCCGGTGCATCCCACTGCTCTACTCCAGCTTGTTAACTTAAAAACACAAGGACAAGCTCTGGGGTGAGAATTAATGCTTACCTTGACCTGGGATTTTTATTTTTTTAAGTGCTCCCCGCCTAGACAATACATAAAGCCTGCTGTGGAGATGTAGCCTAGGCAACCACAGTAAGCTGCTTTTTGTTTTGTTTTGTTTTTCTGTTAGTGCAGCTCTGTCACTTGAACACAGTGGTGGCAGGCTGTGCAATGTTGACAGTTGTAGAATATGTGCCAAGTTTTGACAGCTACTGCTTGGCCAAAACTCACAGTGGCACAAAGCAGCGGAGGTGCCTTGTGTTTTATAAGCGAGAAAGGCATTCTTAATATTTAACCTCATTTGAAAAAGTCTACCTCGGGGCTGGGGGCATGGCTCGGTCTGTAGGGTGCTTGTCCTGCATGTACGAAGATCCCCAGCCCCACACAAACCACCATTAGTGGTGCCAACACTCGGGAGTAGAGGCAGCAGAATCAGAAATTCAAGGTTATCCTTGGCTACATCGTGACTGCTAGGCCACCCTGCAAACAAGCATGTCTGTGCAGCAGGCAGTGAGGTGGCTCTCAGTAAAGGTGAGTGCTGCCAAGCCTGACAACCTGAGCTTGACCTCCAGACCCTCATGGTTGAAGGAGAGAACAAACAAGAAAGCTGTCCTCTGCTCACAATACAAACACATGCACACACAAGTACATGAAAGGAATACATGAAGAGGTAACAAGAAATGTAAAGCTCAGACCACTATTCTTGGGTCAGTTACAGATCACTACCTTCAGCACAACCAGGGATAATGTTAAGTCACAGGGCAGGAAGCTGGGTGATGTATCCCAGGATTCGAGAGATCATCACAGAAGCATCTCCAGGTCCAGGCTGCTCTGCACTACCCAACAAGACAAACAATAGCAAACAGAAATGAATAATAGCAACAGCAGAAAGCTCAAAGCCAAGAAAGTCCTGGCTGCAAAGATGGCTCAGTGGTTAAGAGCATTTGCTGCTTTTGTTGATGGCTTGGGTTTGGTTTCCAGCACCAACATCAGGCAGCTGCAGGGGATCTAATGCCATCTTCCGACCTCCATAAAAACCACATGCAGGTGGCATACATACACACAGACACATGCCCAAATAAAAATATAAAGAAGGCCGTAGTTTATCAGTGTAAGGATTAGAAAGAACACACAGCAACACTGAACAATGAAGTCACCACCAGGAAACAATGCTGTGTCATTTCCTAGGTGGCACTAATATAAAGCAAACAAGGGTGTACTTAAATATGTAAATAAAGTAATATAAACATATAGAGGGACATATTAAGTATGTAAATAAACTAATAGAAAATATAAGACGCATGGGCAGTAACTAAAAGAAGATGAAAAAAAACCAAAAGCACATTATTTTTTAGGGCAGTAAGGCCCACACAGGGAAAACTTCTAAAAATCATCCATACTGTCTTAGTTAGGGTTTCTATTGCTGCGAAGAGACACCATGGCCATGGATGCTCTCAGAAAGAAAAACACTTAATCTGGTGGCTTGCGGTTCAGGGGTTCAGTCCTCTATCATCTAGTGGGACATGGTGGCATGCAGGCAGACACGGTGACGGGGAAAGAGCGATCTTGGTCCACAGGCAAGAGAAGGAAGCTGGGTGCTGTGCTGGACATAGCCTGAACATATGAGACCGCAATGCCCACCTCCACAGGGACACGCCTACTTCAACAAGGCCACACATGCTAACAGTGCCACTCCCTGTGGCCCAGCATCCACTCACAGGAATGTATGGGGACCATTCCGATTCCAGCCACCACAGCCACCACAGTCACCTTGCTCTTGGGGACATGGCCTCTCACTGAACACAGAGCTCACTGGTTGGATGTTATTCAGCCAGCAAGTGCCAGGGCTTCTGCCACTTCATCCCTAGTGCTGGGATTGTAGGCAAGCACCTTCACGCCTGACTTTATGTGGATGCTGGAGACTGAGGCTGTCCATTGTGACAAGCACTTCACTGTCTGGCCTCTCTTCAGCCCTGCACTGCATCCCCTTTGACCTCTGCTATCGGCCTCGGTTTCTCTACTGCACACTTACTCCCATTAACGGGAACCTGCTGCACCTCTTGGCCCCAGCCTTTGGTAACCACTGGTCTAGTTTCCATGAAACAATTTTCAAAAATTGTTTGTTTGTTTGTTTGTTTTGGAAGCAGGGTCTCTGTGTGGTTCTGGCTATCCTGAAGCTCCCTATGTAGATCAGGCTGGCCTGGAACTTACAGAGATCTACCTTCATCTCCCTCCCGAGTGCTGGAACATGCATCAGCACACCTGGTCCAAAATACAAAATGGAAACAGGGTCTTCTGTGTCCCAGGCCTTTCGTTTCTGTGGCTGAAGATGACCATGGGTCACCCTGGTTCTCTCTCTCAAGCGCTGGGATTGCAGGTTACAGTTACGCTGGGCTGAGGGTGGAGCCCACAGCCCCTTGCGTGCCAGGCAAGCACTCTGCCAACTAAGTTACAATCTATGAGAAAAAATTTTTAGATTCCACATATGCAAATGATACACCTGCATTATCATAAGCTTTTAATTTCCTCCCAGCAGCTCAGAAATACAGATTATTCCCCATGAATTGTCATAGACCTGTCTAAGCCTCATGCTTGGAGTCTTCTTATGTTTTAACCTTCTAAGATTTAGGGTCCCGCTGACTGTGGGGTTTGGAGTAAGCTAACCTCTGCAAGACTCAGTTAACAGATGCATGGTTTAAAGGTCATCTACGGACAAACTGACGATAAGTTCTTGCACTGGCATTGTGGGAGAAGGCACCGAGAAGGCAGGGCCCTCCTCTGCCTAGCAGAGGTTAGTCACGGGCCACTGCTGTTGCCCATAGCCTGGGATAATAGAACGGCCCCAAGGATCACTGGGCCTCCATCACAATTCTCTTTGTCACTCAGAAACTCTGCAATTCAGTTTGAATACCTTAACCGAGGCTCAGTTTTCTCATCTGTAAAACGGGACAAGGACACACTGATCTGTGGGTCTGGGATAAGTGCCAGTGCATAACATCTATCCGCAGACTGAACTTCCCAGCCCTCAGGCCACACAAGCAAGTGGTTACTTATGCTGGGCTCAGTTACTACCAAGCTGTTTGGAAGAGCGAATGTGTCCGTGGCATGCATTTATGTGTATGCATGTTTGTATGTATTCCCCAAGCATGCTGGCTAATGTTTATTGCCATCTGGACTGGACTTAGTCATCATGTAAACATGGCTCTGAGTGTCCATGAGGATGCTTCTAGAAATGTCTGGCCAGGGTAAGAAGACCTGTCCTGGATGTGCTCAGCATCGCTGCGTGAGCTTGGCTTCTGGACTGAGTGAAAAGAATGCGGGTTGAGCACCAGCGTTCCTCCCTCTCTGTTTCTTGACTGCGGATGCCACGCGACCAGCTTCCTCATGCTCCTGCCGCCATGCCTTCCCCACCATGGTGGACCCATCCCTTTAGATTCTGGGACAGACAAACCCTTCCTTCCTCACACTGTTTTTGCCACAGCAACAAGGAAAGCGACCGATATTCCAAGCCCTGCCTCTGACCTGAGATGCCGGGACAACTGAGTGTGTGACGTCACACCGTCCTCACCTGACTTTGGCTCAATTGTGAAGGCCTGATGAGACCGCAGCAAAGTGATATGGAACTCGAAATCCACGGGGCAGCTGCACTGCAAGGGGATCACACAACTTTTGCTGCAAAACAAGCACAGAAGGAAACGGAGCACATCATGTTTCTCTCCGGCTTTCTTCTAACTAACCTAGAGAGGAACAGAGACTCGGGAAGCACAGCAAGCAGCAGGAAGTGACACCCAACATCAGCTGGCACTTCCTGTCCCACACTGACAAAAAGATTTGTTTTTGAAATAGGCTCTCATGTAACCTAGGCTAGCATCAAACCTGCTACGTAGCCAAGTGTCTGGGTTCTGCTTCCAGAAAATACCCTGACAGAAGCAACTTAAGGGAGAATGGGTTTGTGCATCTCTCAGTGCCAGGTTACAGCCTGGCATTGTTGTAGAGAAAGTGAGGCAGCAGGATCTTGAAGCAGCTACACCCATAGTCAAAGACAGAGATCAGTGAAGTCATGCGTGCTTGCTTGTGCTTGGCTCACTTGCTCCTTCTTACACAGTTCAGGATCCCATGCCTAAGGAACTATGCCCCCCACAGTGAACAGGTCTTCTCATATCAGTTAATGTAGTCGAGATAATTCCTTATAGACATACCCACAGGGCAACGTGATCTAGACAATCCTCACTGAGAGCCTCTTCTCTGGGGTCGCTAGATTGTCACCAAGGATGATGTTGAGTTTCTGGCCTTCTTTTCTCTAGCTCATAGTGCTGGGATTACAGGCATGCTCCACCATGTGCTGATCACGCAGTGCTGAGGTTAGAACCCGGGGCTTTGTGCGCACAGTGGGCAAACACTCTACCAGCTGAGCTCCATCCCTGTTCACACTCTTGGGAGAGCTCCATTGCACTCACTGTGAGTGCAGCTGCCAGGTTGGGGAGATCTGCTTTCTTGGGAAGTACCCACCTGACCTACTCACCCGTGGAGATCCCCACCACACATGGGCCTTACCTGCCAGCAAGGCTTCCCTGGATTTGGAGTCCTATAAAAGTGGAGTCATGTGTGCAGGAATCTCAGTTCTATCCCAGATCCACACACACACACTCACACACATACACACACTGTTCAATAAATATTTGGGTTTCCAATAACTATTTAGGAGACTATAAATGTGGCTTTTAAAAGCATATCCAAACCTTTTTGAAATTAATTATCTTTTAAAAATCTGTGGAATATCTGGAATAGTAATTTTGAACAATTAAGATTTCTCTATTCCTTCCTAAGAACTATAAACTGTTTCCAGAGAAACAAAGCACTACCAATTGACAGTCCTTGTCTATCTCTGTTCCTTCCTCCTTTGTGGGGGTGACCCTCACTGGGGATCTTCTGTCTAAAATTTCTACATGTTTGATAACATCACAGCATATGCTTGGGAAAGTGTGGGGCAGGAGGAGGAGGTGGCTGGACACATCACAGCTACAGTGATGCAGGAGGAGGAGGGTCTGGTCACATCTCAGCTACAGTGACGCAGGAGAAGGAGGAGGTGGCTGGTCACATCACAGCTACAGTGATGCAGCAGGAGGAGGGTCTGGTCACATCTCAGCTCCAGTCAATCAGGGAGGCAGACAGTGACGAACGCTGCTCTTCAGCGTGTTCTCTCCTTTTTTATTAATCTGGAACACTACCCCATAGGATGGCGCCACCCACATGCAGGGTGTGTCTTCCCAGCTCAGTTAAATTTCTTTGGAAATACCCTCATAGGCACACCCATTTGTGTTTTCTAGGTGGCTTCAAACTCAAGTCAAATTCCCAATGCACTCAAGCGCTCCCAACAGTTGTGGTTACCGTCCCGAGAGCTAAAGAAGGGAAGCCAGTTGATTCCAGCACGGAGAGGAGAAGGGCGGACAAAGCCCACTCCTGGTCAGGCGCTGTTGGGAAAGACCGCCAGTTTTCTTCAGGGACACGGCCCTGGGTAGGTCGCCCATGCTCTCGGAGCCAGCACTACACCCGTGTGCCCACAGGCAATACCATAGACCCAGTAGGGTATATGTTTAGGAACTAGGACAGGACATGAAGAGGCAAGGAGAGCCTGGATGGGGGTGCACGGGAGGAGCTGGAAGGAGGATTGATATCATATCATATCATATCATATCATATCATATCATATCATATCATATCATATCATATTCATGTATGAAATTCTCTAAGAATAAGAAAAGATTAGCTGTCACACAGGGGCTCCCATGAAACAGCTGTTTTAAATGTTGTTTCTTAGCTGTGATTATCTGTAATACTAGGGTAGGTATACTGGAAACACTTGAGTCCCCACATAAGACAAGGCTGCCCCAGGCTTCCAACAATGATACTTTCTGACATAAATCCTGGGTAATGGTCGCATGGGCTCCTTTCTTCATCCCGGTTTACAGGATTTTCTACCCAACCTATACATCCTGTTCCGCCTCAGCTTCCACTAGATGTGTACAGCCAACCAGAACTCCCTGAGACACGTCCCGACTCTGAAGACCAGTAAGCAATGGTGGGTGCACTCCAAGGTGTGATGGTCAATCTAGGCTGTCTACCTGATGGGAATTAGAGTTTCCATGAACAGAGACTTCTGGGCATGTCTGTGAGGAACTTTCTAGTTTGGATTAGCTATGGTGGGAAGACCTACCTAAGTGTAGCACCATCCCACGGGCTGGGATCCTCGACTGAGTAAGAGGAGGAAGGGAGCTGAGCAGCAGCATCCACCTCCTCTGTGTGTGTGTGTATGTATGTATGTGTGTATGTATGTGTGTATGTATGTATGTACAGATGTCACGTGACCAGCTGCCTCCCACCCACGCCACCATGACGGACTGAACCCCGGAACTCTGAGCCCAAATGAACCACTTTTTCAGTCGCTTTTGTCAGTTTTGTTGTTGGTTTGTCACAGCATCTAGAAAAGTCCTGAGACCGCAGGGTCACCTGAGGCCATCCCACCCCGCAGGCTCCGGTCTAATCTAATACACAAGGCCCGTGAGCCTAGCAGGCTCTCTGCACTGTGTGGTGCCAGCCGCTCCACCCAGGCTGGTGAGACTGACTGACAGCCTTTGTTACAGCAGCGGGGGCTGGAATCCACTCACGAAGATGTGAGCAGGCTGTAGGCAACGGTGTATAGTCCACACGCGGTTTCTGGGGATAAGGCAGGGAGCTATGACTCCCATGGGCACCTGCAGGTGTCAGCTCAGAGATGTCCCGGCGAGGCCCTGTCTGATGTTCAAGGCTCTTCTGACAAATGCCACATGGCTGAATGTTTCTGAACTGAAACAATTTTCCCCAAACTCCCATGGGTTCTTCCTATTGGTGATAAACGGCCCATTTTCAATGAACGCCTAAGCTCTGACAATTCTTAGAAAAGGTGTTGAGGTATTTGTTTAGCAATGATTACCAGGAGCCAGGTTCCTCATGCACTTGCCAACCTGGAAAAATAAACAGTTCCTTAAGGGAACAAAATTCCATTCACTGTGACTCAGAGGGCGCGTGACTGATGCAAGCCACCCAGGTTGCAGTGGAGTTCGCGCATTTGTGTATGTGTTAAAGCCCTGCATGTGTGTATGTGCACCATATGGATGCTGGAACTGAGCCTCGCTTTTCTGTAATAGCAGCAAATACTCCTAACCTCTGAGCTATCCCTCCAGCTTCATGTGTGTGTGTGTGTGTGTGTGTGTGTGTGTGTGCGCGTGTGTATCCACGTGTGCATATGTGTGTGTATGCATGTATGTGTGTGTGTGTGTGTGTGTGGTCACATGAGTGCGGGGCTCTGTGAGATACTCTGGAGCTGGAGTTACAGGGGACTGTAAACTACCAGATGTGGGTGCTGGAAAGTCGACTCAGGTCCTCTACTGTGTGCACTCTTAATCAATGAGCCATCTCTCCACTCCCGTGTGACAGTTAACTTTAATTGCCAAAGTGACACATTCTAGAACCACCTCAGAGGCTGGCCTTGAACTCACAGGTAGGCCTGCCTTTGCCACCACAGTGGCACAATTCACCACAATGCCTCCAGCTGTGTCGGATTATTTTACTTATACTAATTAAGGAAGGAAGACGTCAGAAGGTTCCCTTGGCAGAGGGTGAGGGTGGGTGAGAGGGATTCTGAGCAGAAAAGAAGCAAACAAACATGGAGAAAGCAAGCCAAGCACTTGGAGCTGTGAGCCAACTAAGCCCCTTTCCTCTTAAGTTGCTTTGATTAGGGCGCTTTGTAACAGCTATGGGAAAGGGATCGGAGACACTTAATAGGTGTGAGGTCCTGGGTTCAAACCCAGCTCTAGGAAAAAGAAGACTGACATTGTTTGGGGCTCGCTGAATGTGGCCTTGCAAGTCTGTGAGCCCAGCATTTGGGAGGCAGGTGCAGGAGGATCAGAAGTTCAAAGCCAGCCTGACAACTTTCTTGAGACAGCATCTCAAATTAACGAATAAACCTTCTCAGCACTGGAGACATGGTTTAGGTAGGGAAGGGTGTTTCCTGAACAAGCATGACGGCCTTAGCTCAAACATGAGGCCTCAGCGTACCTACAACCCTATGCTGCGAGAGTGGAGAGGGGCCCAAGGGTGCTGGGGCTTGCCGTCCGCCAGCCTAGTTTCAGGGTCAGGGAGAGACCCCAACTCAGGGAAATGAGGCGTTAAATGGTAGAGCTGGAAACCTGATATTCTCCTTTGGCTTCTGCCTGAGCTTGTGCACACGTGCACACATACTCAGCAACACACACACACACACACACATCAAACACACAACTCTAAGCTAAATCCCTATTGATAAATCCACTAAAACTGACCTACAGTGAAGAAAAATACATCGTTCTTGTTGTTTCTCAGAAGCAAACAGAACCTTAAGTAGAGTTCTTTAGTTCACAAATATTGGGAAACTAAAAACAGAAAAGCAGGTGGGAGCCACTGCCCCGGGAGGAGACCTTCACCTTCACCCCCTTGCTTTATTATTTAATCATTTCATCAGTCTTGTTAGGACTGCATACAAAACACACTAAATACTCTAAAAGAATAAAATAATCACTTAATGTTTTAAAACAAATTGCAACATAAACCTTTTAAATACTAAGCATTTGTATTCTGCGTAAATTTCATCATCCTCA